AACAAGTCAGGCACAGAAAGAAAAATATCATGTTTTCACTTATTTGTGGGAGCTAAAAATAAATAAATAAACACACACACACACACACACACACAACCGGGGGGGGGATCTGTTTTTTTTTTTTAAAAAGAAAACCCATAAGTAAACAATAAAATGACAATCCCATAAAATTGAGCAAACTACTTAAACAGACACTTTACAAAGGAAGATATAGAAATGGCCAGTTAGCACATAAAAACATACGCAACATGGTTACTCATCAGAGAGATGATAATTGAAATCACAATGAGATACCACTTCACACCCACTTGAATGGCTAAAAATAAAGGTCGACACCCCCAAATGTTGATAAGGATGTGAAAAAAAAGGAACTCTTGTACTTCTGGTGGAAACATAAATTGCACAACCACTTTGGAAACATTCTGGTGATTTCTTATAAAACATAGAACTATCCTATGATGTGGCAATTCCCTTCCTAGGTATTTACCCAAGAAAAATGAGAGCATCTGTCCACACGGAGACATGCACACAAATATTCATAGTAGCTTTATTTATAATAGTCCAAACTGGAAACAGCCCAGATCAGAAACTGGTGAATGAATAAACCAACTGATATATCCACGTAAGGGAATACAGTACAACTCAGCAATAAAAGGAAAGGAGCAATAACACATTCAACAACATAGATCAAGCTCAAAAACATCATCCTGAAAGAAAGAATCCAGAAACAAAATAATTCCATGATTCCATTCAGATGGAATAGTAATTGCTCAAATAGGCAAAAGTAATATATGGTGGGAAAAAATAAAGCAGTGGTTGGCTCTGTGTGGGATGGTGGTGGAGATTAAGTGGAAAGGGGCACAAGGGAAATTTCTGGGATGTTGATAATGTTCTGTATCTTGACAAGGGTTTGGAGTATGCATTTTGTAAAACTCACTGTTTTGCATTATTGCATTTAAGATTTGTGCATTTTACTGTATGTAAATTTTACCTCCAAAAAATAAAAAGAACAGTAAAGAAATATCAACCTCTGGTTAATGCTGTGCATGCTGACGTGTTTAGGGGGCAAAGTGTACTGATGTCTGCACCTTTCTGTGAAATGCATCAGTAAAATAAGGACAACCACGCAATCAGGCAAATACAGCATAATGGTAATTGTAGAAAATTAGTGATTGGGACGTGGGTGTAAATGCATTCAATTGTTCTGTACGTTGCAAAGCTTTCATAATAAAATGGGGAGAGAAAATAACTAAAAAGTTATCTATTGGATAAAATTGTTACAAGAACATTTGAGAAGTTGGTTATAATCATTATTACTAATAATCCATTATGTGCTTATTAATAAAAAGTGGGGGAAGAAAAAGTTCTACCATGTCTCTCAGAATCCATTTCAGTGCCTGGATTCTCCTCTCCAGCACCTCTCTTTTGTCCATTGTATTCCAGCTGCATTTTCTTTTTTGATTCTAGACTACCCAACGTTGTTTGTGTCACAGGGCGTTTGCACTTGCTAATCCTTTTGCCTGCGGTGCTCTTCCTGCCTTCAACCCTCTTCACATGGCTGAGTCCCTCTTGTCATTCAAGTCTCACCCCAGCCTTAGCCTCACTGAAGGCCCCACTCATAATTCGCCACGACTACCCTGATTGATATTCTTTGCAGTTCTCATCACTTTTGTCAGGTGTTTCATGAAGATCCGGTTTATCACCGGCTTCCTCATGAGACTGGAATCTTCAAAAAGGAAGTGACCTTTATCCCCCGGCCTTAGCACCTTGGGGGGCAGCATCACAGTCCGTAGATATTTGTGGACTGGCAAAAAATTCATCTGGAACTGATCCAAGGATACTGTCCTTTTTTCTTCATAGTATGGGCCCTTATTTTGAAGTTGACCCAAGTATTTAGTTGTTGGTTGCGTGTCCCTCTCCAGCCCCCCAACATACACATGCGTCCACACACAGCGACTCCGGGGCACCAAATCTGTGCCTTCTGAGGGCAGGGATGAGACTGCTTTTGCTCACAGCTGTATTCTCAGGGCCTGGCACAGCGAGGGCTCGCAAAGTCTTTGGTGACTCAATGCGACTTGACTCCTCCAGTGAGGGGCTGGCTTTCTTAGGCTTGGCCCTCCGTTCTGGGCTTCCGCCCCCACCGCCGTTCTGAAGGTGCCCAGGGCAGGGGTCTTTCCCTTCCTCGTTCCCTCCTTCCTCTACTGCTCGATCCGTTTGCTCCTTCATTCATTCATCCGGACAGTCATCCCACTCCTCCCCGCTCCACCCAAGCGTCCTGCTCGCGCGCGCAGCTCCCCGACGGTCTGGCCGGCCCCGCCCCAACCCCACCT